TCCCCCCCCCCCCCACCTCTGCTCCGGCCCTAGGTCTGTCAACCTGAAATATTTATAAATCTTGTTGTAGTAGTATTGTGACATATTTTCCATCCCTACGCCAAGTTAAAGGAGAGGGGAGGACAAGCCGCAGTTTTCTTGACTGCGAACTAAAGTATTCCGCATCCAAGCTATTCATTTCTCATTTCGGATTTTCGATTCCGAACAACAGTATTCTTGCCTCTGAGCCACGAGTGGAGAGAAAAAAAAAATCTGTATTCTCCTATTGCATTGAATTGAAAAGCTAGAGGTCATAGCACAAGAATTGATGTGGTTTTTTCCCAAACCGCCCTAACTCAACAGTGTAGAAGCTACACAGGAACCAATTTATTATGTCAAGTTTAGTTTGTTAGGTCAGGTTTAGTTTGTTAGGTCAGGATTAGTTTGTTAGGTCAGGTTTAGTTTGTTAGGTCAGGTTTGGTTTGTTAGGTCAGGTTAAGTTTGTTAGGTCAGGTCCTGATGTTTACTCTGAGTAAGGTTGAGCGCAAATATTTCAGCAGTTCAGTTTCAGAATACCCATAGTCCACAACTAACGAGGGCTAGTGTTACATTCCTTCAAAACGCTGAGAATGTTTAGTTATCTACACAGATAGATCGAAATCAGTTTCAAACTTTGTTTTCAATTGGGGCGAATAACGGAAAGAATATGAGTCCCTCCCACAAATTCAAATGTCCTAATCCCTATATCTTTTCAATCTGATAATAAACCTTTGATATATTAAACTTAGATTAATTGATCCAACGGAATAAATTTTCTACGACATTGGGTTGCAAAGATATGAATTAGAAAATCAGAGTTTGTGGTGAATTTCTTTTTAAATCTGTTCAACATTAAAAAAATTGAACACACGTTGAAATTTAAAATTTTCTGATCCCTGGCAAACTTTTTATATTTCAACCGATAACCAATTGATCTACAGGGTTACCTACACGGCATTTTTTCAGCCTTTACATGTATATACGATATAGTTTCTGAATTTCTTTCTGCAGCCAAATAAAAAGTCATATTTAGCATTCCTATTATTAATCAAGAGTTACATAGTCGTTATTAAATCAAGAGAGTTACATGGTCGTTATCAAATCAAGAGAGTTACATGGTCGATAATAAATCAAGAGAGTTACATGGTCGTTATTAAATCAGAGAGTTACATGGTCGTTATTAACCCTATTCGTGCTGTGGGGGGGGGTGTCAATTTGCCCCCCTGTAGTTTTTTTTACATGACTCAAAAAGTATTGGTCTGAGGCTGTTGAAATTTTCTGACTTTTCCTACATACCCAAAGCCCTCCTTACCACCCTCCCCTACCTGTGGTTTTTTTAAAAACGGCTTTTTCAACAAATTTCAACATTATTTTATGCAAAGGGTAGCTAGGGATTTGAGAGGAAGTAATCCCATAGATTATTTAACACTAACAGATAGGACATTAGATTTCCTCTTTTCAAGATTTAGCGGGTTTTTCGGTCACCCATGCAAGCAGAGTTGAATTACAAGACGGAGAGAGAGCCTGCGCAGAACTCCTTTGGGCTTCTACCTCAGGGGTATTGTGAACGAAAAACCCCTAAATCCCAAAACATACGAAATCTTTTCTGTTATTGTTAATTAATCTATTTATTTCCTAATTAATTCCTGCTCATTTTGAGAAATAAAAATTCATCTATTTTTTGATTCCGAATCAAGCCATTTTTGATTATTATAAATTGTTAAAAGAGTACAAAACTTTATAAAAGTACAGTACAGTACCTAAAGAGTTTGACTATAGAAGTTTTCTTCATTATCGGTCCGTAGACAGGATATTATTTTACATTTAATTACTTCCCAGTTCCTTTTTCGTCTAATGCCGTTAATTGCAAAAAACCGTTAATGGCAGAATATCATCCGTTAACACAGTTAATAAAATTGAGATCGTTAACTAACGGTAGTTATAAAAACGGAAAATACTGTTAACAAAAAGAACATTCTGTTTTTACCATTTTAATTAACGGCTACCTGTGTTTTTTTTACGGTTGAAACTTACCGTGAACGAAATAACAAGACAATTTTGGAACTTGTCCAGCCCTATAAATTAGTGGTGGTTAATTACCGGACTTAAAAACATATTTTTCAATGATATTTTGAGTTTTCAATGATTATTTTGTGAAGTGTGTCCCCGCACTATTTATCATTCTACAAAATGGACCGATCCATTCCTTGCTGACATTGATAGATGAAAGCATTTTTTCCAGGAATTTTAACAATAAGATTTTACGGATACAGAGATAATGAAATGTCCTACACTCGTTTCATTCAAAAATATTTGACATTTGTATCATAATATTACAGTCAACTGTGGAATAGGAGGACCACTTTTAGATTAAAGTTATGATTTAACTCTTTTTAGTCTGACGTCTTGGTTTACTGACTCTGCTTTCTTATTGTGATACAAATCTATAACATTTGATACGCACACAGTACACAGTACATACACTCCACTCTAGTGTACAATCGCGGTTTCCCGGTAGTTAATTTCCAGCTATATACACGCTACTTTATAAATTACGTCTTAAATCTCTCACTAAATGTTTCTCACAGAAAAGGCTAGTTATGTTAAAACAGTGATGAATAAAATGATGTTAAAATAATATATTTCAGGTTAATGAAAGACTTTAAACTTTAAAATTAAGTTCTCTTAAACCTTTCAAAAGTTTAGCTAAAACTTGTCTGAACCACTTTAGAATTATTTATTTGAATATTTCTTCCATTTACATTTGTTAAACTAAAATGAAGTGGAGTTATCAAATATTCTATTCATTCTTCCATTACGGTGGCTCAGTTTAAATTTAAAAAATAAGTTTGCCATACTTGACTATGGCTTTTACAAGGGGAACGAGTGCTACTATTCAGTAAGCTATAAGAGCATTCCGTTCTCGTTCCTTTTTCTTAATCGTTCCGTTCTAATTCCATTATGTCTTGTTCCGTTCCATTCTTAGTCAAAGAACGGTCATCCCGTTCTGTTTCATCTTGGTGTTCTTTGTCGAAGAACGGCTCCATCCCCCCGTTCCGTTCTCAGTCAATAAGATAGGAGGGGGGGGGGGGGCGGCTGGGGGGTTACTTTAGAGGTGTTCAAGACAAAAGTTTTGTAGAAAAGAGGTTGTTAAAAAATTTTGAAATGACGTTTTTATGATGAAAAGTTCCTCTGCACAACTGAAAATTTACTTTAAATTATTTGTTTTAAATTCAGGTTTAAAAGATAAGCTTAAATCATTTCTGGGCCGAGCAATGTATATTTTTCATTAAAATGTATAATAGCGTACGTACGTATATATATATACGTTTATATGTATAATAGCGTACGTAATATCGTAACAGCGTACGTAATTGCTGAGAACCTGGTTTATCTTTAAAAGGAGGGTTTACAATCCGTAGATTTTTAAAAAATGTTTAATTTTCATTATCGATATTTCAGTAATATATTGATTAAATAACAAAATTACTGCAATTAACTTTAATAAGGACAAGTCCTTCTTATAAAAAAAAGTAGGCATTGCAAAAGCGTTAATATGAAAAGTAAAGTATGGAATTAACGTATTTTAGGAATTGAAATAAAGTTAAAACAAAGCCGCTTTTAACACTTTTTCGTTTTCAAACAAAAGTCTCTTCTTGATATATATTTGCAGAGTGCAGGGCAACATTATTGCGCAAAATGATTTTACATACATTTAATGTAGACAATTTACAGGAATAAAGTCAATATAAAATTTAATATTCTTTTAGTTTAAAAAAATATTTTTATTCTAAAAAAACACACACAAATCAGGTCTACTTAAATGTCAAAAGTATCATTAAAAAAGAAAATCGTATAAAATTGCGACTTGGATTTAAAGTTAACAGGACTGTAAGCGTAATTTCAAATGACCCAATATACAACAGAACCCTTGAAAACTTAATCTGTTCTAAAATGTGAAAAATACAGTAGTTTTCCTGACTAGAGAAGTGTTTATTTCGGTGATTTTCTCAATTGATTCTTATAAACAAGAAATGCGCAAATCTCCTAGAGAAACAACTAATAAAAATAAACAGTTTAAAGCACCAACAAATTGATATCTAATTCCTACTGGATCAGACAACGGTTTAAAGGTACCGATATAAATAAACATTACTATCTTTGCATGGAGGGTTATTTGAAATCACGCTTACAGTTCCTTTAATATAAAATATTTTGAAAATGCAATAAATTTCAGAATTTGGAATGTCAACGGATTACCTCAGTGCAATTCAAATTGGACAATTTCAAGATGCATTTGTCAGGTATTTTAGTATTTAATTGCACAATACAGTTTATCACATATATATTTGCTTACATAGTTTGTTTGTAAATTGTATGTAGCTTTATCAAGGGCGCACTATAGTTTCAGTAGAAATAAATATTTCATTTAGTTTATAGCGACGAAATAAGGATTTATCTCTAATTGGATAATGAGATTGATAGAAAGATATGAAATTTCTATTGGTTCAGAATAGACAACCAACACATGACTGAACCCTGATTGGATAAGGCACTAATGGATTCGGCTTACTATAAGTGGGCGTTATTTAAATTTTATTACGTAGTTTTGATTTTAAGTATGATACAAGCACATTTGATCTGTTGCATCTTAGAAATTCATAACATATTTGCTCTTTTATGAGAAGAGTTATGAATGATAAATGAAACGTATTAGATTTTAATCTAACGTGAAATTTACTTTAGCTTGCCGTGACTGTGTTTGTGTAATATAATAAGTTGAATTAAAATAAATATTAATGCATTTAGTTGATAACTGTTAATTTTTTATGATAAGACATTTATGTTGAAAAAGAGAAAAAAGAAATACATAAGATTGAGAAAACTGTTTGTATGAGTTTAGACTTTGTAAAGACGTTTGATTTATCATCTAAACTCGCAGATTTTCTAGAGTTTTGTTACTAACTGTTTGTGTTGTTGCGTTATGTTAAGTTTGAAATATTCAAAGAAATATTTGAAGGAACGATCAGAATATCCGTCCCTTTCTAAAGAGAACGTTCACTTATTTAGGTTATTTCAGGGTAAACTTAATACCCTTTCAATGTTTTATTGGTATTCGTCTTACATTTTAAAGATAAATGTGGCCGGGGAAAAATGTTTTTTTTTCTTTTATGTATGCCACTCAGGTGTTATGTATGGTTGGAGATGTTCGGAACTTTTTCAATACGTTCGTTAATGACTATTATATAGTCGTTCGCTATAAACTACGAACTGTTAGTTTAGTTTTCGGGATGTCCGTTCGTTAATGAAGTTTCCGATTGTTAACAATTTGTTTTTGTTTAACGACGGCGTTAGCGGTAGATATACCTTATATTAGTTAAAAACTTCATTGTAAAACGTTGACAAATTCGTTAAAAAGGCATGTACTTCATTATAATAAATGGTTTTGAAATCGACATTGAAAAACTTAATTACACGTTATAAACTTAATTACACATTACAAACTTAAATACACATTCTAAACTTAATTACACATTATAAAACTTAACTACACATTATAAAACTTAATTACACATTACACACTGAATTACACATTACAAACTTAATTACACATTTTAAACTTAATTACACATTAAAAAACTTAATTAGATATTACAAACTTAATTACACATTTTAAAAATAATTACACATTATAAAACTTAATTACACATTATAAAAATTAATTACACATTATGAAACTTAATTACACATTATAAAACTTAGTTACACATTATAATCTTAAATACACATTATACGCTTAATTACACATTATAAATTTAATTACACATTATAAACTTAATTACACATTATAAATTTAATCACACATTATAAACTTAATCACACGTTATAAACTTAATTACACATTATAAATCTAATTACACATTATAAACTTAAATACACATTATAAACTTAATTACACATTATAAACTTAATTACAAATTATAAACTTAATTACACATTATAAACTTAATTACACATTATAAACTTAATTACAGAAAAGGAACACAGTTTCTCCGATCTTGTAATTTCTAAAAGCATCTGTTTGTTCCTTCAGTTCAAATATTGGACAAATATTGCCACAAACTCAACTTTCCAATCTTTACACCTTTTGCAACCTGATACTAAAAACTTTTTTGATATAACATAATTTATAGTAGGGTAGAATGGGTAGGAGGGAATCTATCAAAAACTCAATTCTGTATAAGAATTATATATTTTATAATTTTAGATATGATTTGGACGCTGATGGGGTAGTTTCTAGCAAAGAAGTTGGACAAATTATGAGAGCTATTGGTCAAAATCCTTCAGAAGCAGAGATACAGGTGTTCTTATGGCACATTATTCTTTATTATTATTTTTTTTTGGTGTACCACCCCGTTTTGTCGTCTATTCTATTTGTACAGTGTTTTGTCGTCTATTCTATCTGTACAGTGTTTTGTCGTCTATTCTATCTGTACAGTGTTTTGTCGTCTATTTTCTGTGTATATAGTTTTGTTGTCTATTATCTGTGTACATTGTTTTGTCGTCTATTCTCGCTGTACATTGTTTTGTCTTCTATTCTCTCTGTTCATTGTTTTGTCGTCTATTTTCTGTGTACGTTGTTTTGTCGTCTATTTTCTGTGAACGTTGTTTTGTCGTCTATTTTCTGTGAACGTTGTTTTGTCGTCTATTTTCTGTGAACGTTGTTTTGTCGTCTATTTTCTGTGAACGTTGTTTTGTCGTCTATTTTCTGTGAACGTTGTTTTGTCNACATTGTTTTGTCGTCTATTCTCTGTGTACATTGTTTTGTCGTCTATTCTCTGTGTACATTGTTTTGTCGTCTATTCTCTGTGTACATTGTTTTGTCGTCTATTTTCTGTGTACATTCTGTACAACTTTCTGAAGCAGCCTGATGATAGTCAGTCCTAAAATAGTAAGATGGCATTGTAACATTTTACAACATTAAAATTTATTATTTTTTATGAAATGTTTGATAAAGTTATTTTTATAATTTGAATCTCATATCCACGATATTTACTTAAAAACATATTTTTATTTATTTTCACTTTAATTTGAAGGACATGGTTAACCTAGTTGATAAAGATGGAACAGGGAACATTGATTTCCCAGAGTTTTTAAGTATGATGGCAATCAAGGTAATTTGTACAATGCAAACTGTACAACATTGCACAACACTATACGTACACCACTGTACACTGTACAGTAAGGTAACACATGAAAAATTATAATTAACAAAAACATTTTTGGCGCCTAAGTTGTATGGGGGATGTGGCCCAATATTTTGTGAACATTTTAGGTTGATCGGCGAATTAGGTGCAAGTCGTTTTCGTTTTTTTTTGGCAAAACCTCGATTTTTAATGGAGTTCTTTGACCTCTGATTCCAAAGTTTCTTTATGATCCGGTTAGATAGTCACAATTGAAGGCTGAATGCAAACCAAATGCTTACCAAAAATCGAAATTCTTTACTGAACCTACTTGCACCTTAGTTTGTTCATCAAGTTAGAGCAATTTTTTTGCATTTCTATACTTAGGGTTGAAATCACCCATAGAACTTATCTATGTGCACCTTTTGATTTTCTGACTTTAATTTTTGCGTGTGTCACCTAGCCTACAATGTACAGTGTACAATGTACAGTGTACAGTATACAGTGTGCACTGTATAGTGTACACTGTTCTTTGACAAATATAACTCCATTTCGTTCCTGTTATCCCAAGGTTTGCATAGCTAGTGAGGTTTATAAATTATTAGTTTTATAAAAAAAATCCACCTAAAATAAAATAAATTTAAGCCATTTTCTACTTATCCACAAATTGTAAAAGTAAAAAGAAAAACAAGGAATCTCCATCCACTTGAATACTTGAAAAGTTCTGTTTTGAATCATTGTAAGCATTCTTAAAATCTAATACAATTATTTTACACTGTAAAATATACACTGAAATCTGAACACTGAACACTGAACACTGAACACTGAACACTGAAATCTGAAAACTGAACACTGAACACTGAAATCTGAAAACTGAACACTGAACAATGAACACTGAAAACTGAACACTGAACACTGAACACTTGAGCACTGAACACTGACCACTGAACAATGAACACTGAACATTGAACACTGAACAATGAACATCGAACACTGAACACTGAATACTGAACACTGAACACTGAATACTGAAAACTGAACACTGAATACTGAACACTGAACACTGAACACTGAACACTGAACAC